CGGAAGGAGTAACAGGTACCACTGGACTATGACTGACAGGTATCTCCGCGATCGGCCTCCAGCAGGTACATTGTTTAAGGACAGCAAGGTTGGACTTTAGCGGGAATGGTGGAGGCGACATGGATGGCTTGGACTCGGCATCCCGAAGAATGTGGAAAGGGTGGACGGAAAGCAGGTAGTGGCCGGGAATTCATTTGACGGAACTCTGTTAGTTGAAAGAGATAGACAGCTGGCAGTCAGGAATGGGGGGTGGATTTGTGATAGATGTTTAATGACACATGAGCACGGATACTGCAGAATCCCCAGTGTGTGGATTGGCGGCAACAAGTGGTTTTTCCTGCCCCGCGATGCGACTGCGTGCCCAGCTTGCAGTAGCTCGATTGCGAAGCGAGGAAGACAACTGGATGGGCAGTCTGTGATTAAGGGCTTTCGTGCGCATTTTGACAACTCCCCACCGTGTTTGGACAAGTGTATGGATTTGCACTGGGTGTGGGTATATGACGGATGGGGTGACTTGAAATGGGCTGAACAGGTCACACAGGTGTTGGCTTGGGCCAGGAGTTATGAGTTGGTTAAAGGACCCCAATGTTTTTCTTGTAATAGCACGTTTATTGATATTTCGGGTCATTGGAGGAATACTCAGCGTTGTTGGGACAGATTGGAAATTTCATTTGTTGAGTATGTAGAAAGCGAAATTGCTGATGGTGGTGCGAGTGATGGATAGGTTTGCGAGAACCGGAAGACGCGTTAATCCGGGGTGTCGCTTGCGGCACGAGCACCGGTGAGCCTGTTGGTAGTGATTTTTTGGACTTATGTTTGGACGGAGAGTTGCGAGACGGTTGGCTGTGGTAGTGATTTTGTTATGATTTATGGGTTACGAGGGATGTTAGCTAGATCATAAGCCATGTTTTGGCACGACTAGGATAAATAAACTTAGATATAATTTGAACACCTGTACCTAGGAATTACACCCTCTATTATCTGGCGTTCTCTTGAACCTCTGAACCCTGACCCTGAACCCCTGAACCCCAGACCTCATACAACTCGCTTCAGTTGCACCCCCGCACCTAGACCTCGTCTCCAGAATGCTGCCTATCCTGATCGTGGTATGCCTTGCACTACCCGACCCTCAGACCCTGTCCATTACACACTTCCATAATTGGCTGCAGGTCTACTACTATTAGCACTAGAAACACATTAAGTATACCATTCGAAAGCGGGCATCTAGTAGAACCAAGACACTAAGTATCAGCTGCTGTGCTAAATGGCTACTTGTGGAATCTGGCATCAAAGTTAGCACTTTACTAAAATAAATACTACTCCGATCATAGGCTGCAACTCTGCTAATATTAGTACTGGGTAGAGGTTTCATGCACTACTGGAAAGCTGACATCAACTGGGATCAGGACGCCAAGTACCAAATGCTGTACGCATAGGATGCCTCAGGAATCTGGCATCAAAGTCAGCACTCTGCTAGGGTTGAAACTACTTTTTTAACAGGTAGTAACTCTACCAATATAGGCTCCAGGTAGACCTTCAATACATCACTGAAAGGCTGGGAATCAAGTAGGTCCAGGATACTAACCATCAAATACTGTGCCCAAAGAATAGCTGAGAAATATAATGTCAAAGGCAGCACTCTATAAAAACTCTGCTGTAGTAAAAACCACTTTCATAATACGCTCTAGCTCTACTAATATTAGTACTGGGTAGACATTCAATACACTGTTGGAAGACTGGCATCAATTAGACCCAGGATGCCAAGTATTAGATACTGTGCCTAATAGACGTCTAAGGAATCTGGCATAAAAGTTAATACTTGACCAGGGATAAGACTACTTCTATAACAGGCTGTAATTCCACTAACATTAGTACTTGGTAGATATTCAAAATACTACTAGCAAACTAGCATCGAGTATAACTAGGACACTAAGTCTCAGATGCTCTACCCAAATGACGTCTATGAGATCTAGTGTCAAACTCCACACTCAATCTGAATGTCAACAGAGTACAGACCACTTTCATAATGGGCTGTAACTCAACCAATATTGGTGCCGAATAGATATTCAATGTGCCATGGCAAAGCTACCATCAACTTAAAGTAAAACTAGGATGTTATGTATCAGATGCTGTATCCAATAGTTGCTCAAGGAATCTGGTATCAAAATAAGTACTCTGCCAAGGTCAAGCCTACTTTTATAACAGGCTATAACTTCATCAATACTGGTGCCAGGTAGACATTTAATACACCATTGGAAAACTGGTATCGAGTAGACCCAGGATGCCAAGTATGAAATACTCTACTCTAAGAACACCTACAGTATCTGGTATCAAAGTCAACACTCTATTAACACTATCCTATGGTAAAGACTACTGTCATAACAGGATGTAGCTTTACCAATATGGATCCTAGGTAGGTGTTTAATACCCTACTGGAAAACCTAAATTAGGTAGAACCAGGGTGTTGAGTATCAGCCACTGTACAGAAAGAAAATCCACGGAATTCTATGTTAAAGTTAGGACTTGACTAGAACTTTACTGACTGGTAAAGTAGGTGAAAGAAGCCACAAAGCCTAGAATGCAGGAGATGTGGTAGGGAAGAACTAGTAGGGGGAAAGATGGTATACAGGATACTAGTAGGAGTGGAGCTGATAGGAGGGGAGCTGGTAGGGCAGGAGCTGGTAGGAAGGGAGCTGATAGGGGGGGAGCTGGTAGGAGGGGAGCTGGTAGAGGGAGAGCTGGCTACCAGTAGAGGGTGGTAAGGAGGAAGTGGCTGGCAGCTATGTTTATCACTCAGAATCTCAGGATGGTAAGTACTCGGCATTGCTTTCTTGTACTACAATCTAGATGTGGTACTTCCTAACCTCAGCTCTAGGATGTGTAGGATATAACCAGACTTGGTGCCCCAGGACTGGACTCACAGGATACACTGGATGCAGAATCCTCCCTTCTTGTATCAGGACACACCACTCATGCCTCTGATGCAGGAATAATTTTTGCTGATGTAGTGGAAGGTTGCAAGACCATAAAGGTGGTGACAATTTTCTAGTATTAAGTCCTTTCCAATTAGGAAATAAATTTCAATAACTGGGATTGTGGCAGCCGGGTGAAAAATATTAACTTAGGTTGCATACCATGGATTTTCCTGTAGCTAGTTACAAATAAATAAACTGTGGATTTAACAAATATAAAAATAAAAATACTACAAGTATCACTATTGAATTTAAATTTTTTAATCAATAAAAGGTTAAAATGTTGCTACATTATATGGGTGTTGATATGCGAAAATAGGCTGGACACCTTAAACCTGGTTTTGTGTAATTACACTTTCAAGTTTGCATAGCAACCTCAGAAAAATTGTAAAACAGAAAAATATTTTATACGCTCACATATAACCAGTATTACAAAATTCTTTATACCAGTCAATTCTACTACTAAAACAATGCTCTTAAATATTTTTCTGATAGCTGAAAACTCAGGCTACCTATGTATGCAAAAAAGAGAAAAGTGTAAAATCTGAAAAAATCTAATTGTGAGTCTATAGATGTACAAATTTCTTTGATAAATATTTTTTAAGACTATTAGAGGGTACTCTACATGCTCAAGAAGTTTCATATGAAGTGAAGTATATTTGTTGCATTAAGAGATTGGTATATTTTTTTGCATAACAGCACCCATATAATGCCTGGATTTATTATGCTGAACAAATTCTGCATTACTTGTACCTCGTACTTCGTACGAGTAGTACTTCTCTGAATCTGCGTGTCAAGTGCTCGAATCTGGAGTGGTGCCATTGCTGGGAACCGTATGAGGACCCTTCGGACACGATTGTGCTGTGCAGTACGAGTACAATACCGGTACTGTATCGTTTTTAGGGGAGTTTTATTGCTGTCACAATATTACTTGTACTAGTACCGTACGCGGGGGGGGGTTTGCCTGTCCTTGTGCCTTGTGTGAAGGGCAAAGTCTGTCAAACTTCCTTTGGCTGGCTCGCAGGCCCTACACTCGAGCAGACAGGACAACTGGGAGAAGGGTGCTCGCTCCAGCCATAGGCCACGGGTGCGACACACTCTTTTCCTTGGCCAAACATTTGTGCATAATCCTTGTGACACAGGTAATTTAGATGGACCAGATCAGAGTTGAGCACTCGGGGAACCTACCTCTCCCTCCAGAGATGCGATCTAATGTTCATGCATTTTGCTGTGTTGTAAGTGAGTTATTGCGCATAGCTGTGGAATCGCCCCCCTGTAGCTGAGATGCAGTGCAAAATATCCGGGCCAATGAATCATCGACGGGAGAAAAATGGCGGAGTTCAGAGCTGCGGGATCCATCTCAGAGCAGTTGTGAGCGCTCGAGTCTCGGATAACTTTTTTTCTTTCTTTTCTTTCTAGAACCCTATTTTCCTGGCTCAATGGCCAACCCGAACCTCTACCGTGGCGTCAAGAGAGGAAGTGAGAACTTGAAGGACTGGCATTAACCCGTGACCACCGATATTCCATATAAAGTCTGAAAGGGGGGGCGCTGTGGAGTATTGATACTACACAATGGGGGCGAGGAAGACTCGAATGAAGAATCCATCTACGGTACCGGTAAATATCATACGGTACTCGGGCTAGAACCTTGGTTTCCCGGTGTTGGCACTGGGCCTCACCGTGTGGAAGCGGAAGATCCGACCTCCCTCCTTGAGGTTGAGATGCTGACTGACGGGCAGGCGCCCCCGTGATGCTTGTACGATCGTACATACGGTATGGTGCTCTGCCTGTAGACTAATGAGTTGGAGAGGAGGGTACAGTAAACTGGAGCTCGACAGGAGAATGTCATGAAACGACATGATGTTGCGGTTGGGTTGAGCGAGCCCTTTGGTCATCCTGCGCCTCCTTTCCGAGAGGCCGAAAAAAAAGAAAGGAAAAGAACAGAGAGAGAGCCCCCCTCTCACAAAGACTCCTTCCCCTTCTCTCCCTCATCCCATTTTTCCCCTTCCCCTCCTCCCGTCCTTCACTCACACACACTCTTTCCCTCCTCCCCTGGGTGTTCCCCTCGTTACAGCACCGGTACCATACATCATTTCCCATCCAGTCCATCTGCCCCCTTCCCCTTCTCTCCCTAACCTCCTCCTCTTTCTTCCCACCGCTCGTTGCTATTGCCGCCGCTGCCTTCGTTTTTTCCTGTTTTCGGTGGACCGTTGTACGCGTACTGTATCATCATTCCGTCGCTCTCTATTCCGTCGCTCCCGTTCTGCGTACCTACGGCTGCTTTTGGTATGTCAGTTGCATGCTTGTCCTCCCATCCATCCCCTCCCTCCTTTGGCCAAGCTACCCTTTCCCCAGCCTTCCCCAATTTGGGTCCAGTCTGGATAAGTCCTTGTCTCGCGGAGAACCTGTTTACCGATTGTTACTCACTACTTCCCCCCCACCCAGTTACGTACCCTTCCCACTCTCGTTGCTTCCTATACATAAACACACACGCACTTACTCAAACACCTCGAAACAAGTACCGCTATTCCAGTTGTCACCGTCGCTCTTTTAACTATTCTTCTGGTTCCGCTGTTCCTCGTGTTGTCCACCCTTAGTGACACGGGTTCCTTTTTTTTTTTTTTGCTTCCTCTTTCTGCCGGTAGTCATTAGGCGTTTTAGGGCCAAAAGGGGAGGAGGAGAAAGGAAAAAAGAAACTTGTGGCCGAGTTCGGAAGCCGACGACGTGGGTGCTTTCAGCACTTATTTCTAGGTTGGATTGTGGTAGACTGCGCCTCGACCTTGCTTCGCTTCAGCCTTCGCTCACTTTGTTGCTCCTCACCAGCACAGAGTGGGAAGCGCTTTCCCTTGTTCGCAGATATCATCGTGGGAATTAATTATCATGCGGTGGAATTCCTCGCTCCTCTTGTACCTACTACTGGCGCTGCTCGCTACAACCGTCTTGTCACAAGACGACTCTGGGACGGGGAACCCACCTGCGTCGACCAATAAACCCCCTGAGACATCGAAGCCGCCTGAGCCGACGACAACAGAACCGCCCAAGGAAACCTCAACGAAGGATGGCGATAACAAACCTTCCAATGCCCCAGAATCTACGTCGTCTGTGCGCATCACGGCGGGCAGTACTTCTGAGACCGAAGCCACGGACGCTTCTCCCGCCAGCAACACTAGGTTCCCTTCAGTTTCAAAGGGCTTCGCGCCGGCTACCCCCACCGCTACTGTTCCACCAACTGCGAACGCACCCTTCATGCAAAAGTCCTCATTACCCGAGGGAACTGTATTCATTGCTGTGGGATCTGCTTTGGGATTGTTCGGCCTGTCGGTCATACTTTGGAGATGCCTTGTCGCCTGGTCACTCCATCGTTCAGTCAAGCGTGCGGCGATGAATGCTAATATATCGGACACCAAGGCCCTGATCCGCCCACCCCCTAACGGTGGAAACGGTGGCTTCTACGCGGCGGGTCCGGGTTCCACTCTATCACTCGACCACTTAGGCGCGCCACCCCGCCCAGGAACCAACCCGAACCGCCAACAAAATCCCACCTCCAGTTTATTCTTCTCACCAACCGCCGGAACGGGGAATGCGGGTGGGGACAGACGGTCCCAGTATCTTCCTTCGGGATACTATGCTGCTGGAGCCCGCGATAGCACCGTCGGATCGGGCGGTCATCCAAACTCGTCACACACACATCTCGCGACCCACAGTGTCTCCTCATCCCGCTACAACCCCAACCGAGGTATGGGAATTTCGCCACCCGGCTCACCGCTCATTGCCCCTACCGGTCCCGCTGCTCGTGGCGGCAGTAGCCACAGCGGTGGCCAGCAGTTGGGTGGCCTGAGAGGCAGCGAAAGCCACACATCTCTCAATTTACCACCCTCCGGCAGGGCTCCGAGTGCGTACCTCGAAGACCTCTTTGAGAACCACCGACAACAGAGCCCTGGAAACAACGGCCGTTATTGATCACGTACGCGATGATTAGCCCGGGAGTCAAGGAAACTAAATTTAGATGCCCTTCTTCTTTTTCTTTTCTGCCCCTCTACATAAAATACCATTATTTTCCTCCCATGTACGGGTTTTCTTTTTCATTATTTGGCCTGTTTTGTATTGTCCTGCGTTGCGCTACAAGATACGATGTGTATTCCTTCTCTTGCTTCTTCCTTTCGCTGCTTTAAGTCATTGTTATGGGCTGGGCGCTTCAATCGATTACTTTTTGTCTTTTCCACACTTTTACTTACCCTTCCTCCGAGCTTGGTTCTTTGAACTTGCAGATAATGGCCAAGGGGCAGATGCTCTAGGGGGCATCTCATGAGATCTCTTGTATGTATGTAGTTATGTAGGAGGTTAGGCAGGGGTGTTTGTTCTGTTCAAATTTTGATACTTAGAAGGTTAAGTTAAGCAAGCCAAGGTTCAGACGCTCGTTCTACTTCCCTCATCTGCTCGAGGCTTTCCTTTCCCTCCATTCCTTTCCCCGTCCGCTCACTTTGGAGCAGAGAGCGTTGGGAGAAGGAAGTAAAAGTATATAGGACCGTACACCCATCGGGTGGAAGCATTCTCAAGCCCGCAGAGTGCTTCGTACAGTGCACGAAATCTTGGCCGAAGTACAAGTACAAGTGAGAGCCCAGCGCAGCACACGATATGTTACCACCGTCTCACCTGCTCCACCAATGCACTCTGCTGGTAGTAGAGTACCCCCCCCTCTGGCTCACAAGGCACAACCCAAACCAGATAGAAGAGGATACCGGGTTTCCAGCTACCATTAATCCGTAAACTCCCCTCAAACAAAATGGTACCTCAAAATGAGCAGCCAAGTATCCGATATCCGCAGTGCGACTGCTTACGATCGCTATTATTTTTACTCCAAGTATATACGAAGTGCTGGACATCCCGAGTTCTAACAATCGACCGGGATGTACGATAGTCCGGGAACCCCGTTGTCATGTAAAGTGTAAGGTCATTTCAGGAGTATCATGTCGACAAACCCCCCCACCCCCCCACCCCCCCACCCGCCACTATGCGTGAGTGGAACAATCCCAAGAACCCATTTTTCAGCGAGCTCCGCTGACGAGTCAGACTCTCGATTCTATTTTTTTCCCCAAAGCACTTTCGCCAGACACGTTTGAGCTTGTGCCGGCATCACAGCCCCAATATTGGTTCGACTCGGGATTTGTCACGTAACCCCACCAGGCCACACCCCCTGGCTGCTGGGGAGTGGGTTCCCGAATCCTGTGCGAGTGACAACTCATGACTTTGTCAAAGTTTTCTGAAAAAAACGAAAATTATCTCTGCAATCCCTGTTACTGGTATTGCGAACAACAAAGTGAGACGTGCCGTTTCTAGTCTAGCTAGGGTGGCAGTAGCTAAGAGTGTGCGGTTCGCATCATATTATGCAAGTACCGGGGGAGGGACCTACCATACTGGTACAGCAGAATCGATAGCGGGGGAGAGAAAGGGAAGAAAAACAAAACTGCCGTTTTCAAAAGTATCCGGATGCCTTGGCTCCAAGACAGGCGAAAAAGATGCCAAGCCCTCCGAATACTTTTGAAAACGGCTAGTAAACAGAGAGAGGGAAAGGAAAAAGAAATTTGTCCGTAGATTGGGGGTTGGAAGTATTGCTTTTTAGGGACTATACATTGTGGTTTTCTCGCTTTGTTCGTTTCTTGAGTTGGTCGGCTAGCTGGGTTCCTATCTCGTAGGTGAAAGAGAGGAGGGAAGTAAACAAATCGGTATCTTGATATCAGGGGAATAGAGAAAAGATAAAAAGGAAGTCCAGAGATGGAAGGGGGATAAATGGTAAATGTAAAAGGACAATAGAGTAACAAGAAATTTAGTATTCTTTTTCGATTTATTTCGATTTTTTTTTTTTTAAGATTTGGGGCTTTTCTCATCAACGAAAATAAAAAGGAAAATAGGAAAAAAAATATTAAAATTTAAACATTAATGCAGCAAAAGCTCCACGATCCTTTCCGCCTCCATATCCGATATGTTCCTACCCCTGCGGACACCAGCATGCTCGAGCGCGCGCACGATGCTCGATATAGGGAAGCCCATAGGCGTGAACCGCTCTATGACGATGGGTGGGAAGCCAGCGTACTCCTGGAGTCTCCTCTGCTCCTCGCTGGCCGACGGCACGGCCGGCGGTGGGGGTTTTGCCGCATTGCTGCCGACGGGAGAAGCGGAGGAGGCGGCGGCGGTGTTGCCGGGGGGATTAGCCGTCAGGTCGACTACCGGTGCTTCCGCTTTTGGCGCTCCAGCGAAGCGATGGGCCCATTCCTGGGCTTTGACTCGGAAGGCGGCGGGGTTCTTGATCATCTGCTGTGCAACTTCTGCGTCTTGTGGGTCTGTGGGTTCCGGGGCGTCGAGAAGGGACTGTAGTGAGAGGAGGGCCGTCTTGATGGTTAGGACTGGGGACCATTTTTGCGAGAGGGTGTCGAGGCAGATAGCTCCCTAGGTTCAAGATTTTTAGTATCGCTAGTCGTGCTTAGGCAAGGGGTCGGAGGGGGATAGGGGGGGAGGAAGGCACAGTTTGAGAAGAGACATTAGGATGCCAGATCTTTGTGATGAACTTCATGCGCGGTGGCATGAAAGGGTAGTTATCCGGGAGTTTGATGTCCACGATAAATTCTCCTCCTTCATATGGGGTCCCGGGAGGTCCGGCGAAACGACCCTGCAAGTGTGTCATATCCGCAACGTCCACAGGTGTGGCATGCATTCCGCTGGTAGTATCCTTCGCCATGTCGTCCAACTCTTTTAGAATCCGTCGACGGGTCGCCATATTTGTTGGTTCCGGGTGCGGGTGGTCGGGATTCAAAACTATTTGAAGCCGGGGTGGGTGTCGTGGGGGTTAGAGGCTTTCTGGGAGAGGGAGGGCGGTGTATAGGAGTAGAGTGGTTGTATATCTGGCGGGGAGGGGGATAGGAGAGGAGGAAGGGGGGAGTAGCGGAGGATAGTATTAGAAGACGGATAAATACTATTCGGTGGAATACTGCAGTGGGAAGTTATTGAGGAGAAACAGGATATGAAGTGTCGGTAGGATGGTACAATACACGTTTGTGAGGAGGGGTGACTCTTCTTCCGTAAACCTCTTTTCCGTATAATTCACGTTGAACTGGTGGGTAGTAGAGAACGAGGTGGGTATGCAAGACGACTGCAATTGAAGGTGTTGGAAAGCTGGCCAGGCGACTGATGGTGCTTCTGGTTGAAGTGCACGGGGGCGGCTCTGTGGCAGGCGGGGTCTATCGCAGGATCTTATCTAATCTTGCCCAGGAATGCTTTCGGGCGGGGGATAGTGGTGTGCGGTTGGGAGAAGTTGAGCGGCCTCTATTATCATACCTAAAGTGGATGGACAGTGTCCCAGGGGCTGGGGTAGGGACCCGGGAAAAATTGAAGCTTCTTTCATCGTACAGCTATTTTTTTATCTTATAATGAGTTTGCTCCATATTCTGGGAAATCAATAAGAAGAAACATTAGAACATATTCAGACACAGGTGTAGTTATGATGGGTGGGGAATGAAATATGGCAGGGCATTGAGGTAGGTAAATGCTAGAGGTTGGAACTGCAGGCTAGGCCGGTTCTATGAGCATATATCGAAGAAAAGAACGGAAACTAGGGTTCTGTGGAGGCAACGGTTATCCGCCTAAGAGGGAAGAGAAACAAGAGCAGGCGAAACGAGTGATACTAAAATCGAAATGATAGCCTCTATAAGAAGCTAAGCACTTCTAAACCTCGAGAGCCTTTGGACGATACAGAAATCTAAGCTAATGCGTAGAAGAGTAAACGTCACCCCCAGCACCATGCCACTACTATACATGCATTGCCCAAGAAATTTGTCCAGTGAGATGATTGAACTTGTGCCTTGGAAAACGAATGCGAGAAGGTTTGTGTCTGGTATCAAGGATCACAAGTAGTCTAGATGCTCTCGAGTTGGGTCTGGAGCTCCTCCAACTCGCGCGCTGCCTTCTTGCTCGTTTCAACTGTCTCCTCATACTTCTTTTCGAGTGTATCCTTCTCGGCCTCAATAGTAGCGACTTTACGCTCGTAGTGCTCGGCCTTAACATCGGTGAGGCGCAATCTGGAGGGAAGGTATTTAGTGAGCGCGAGTGTATAGACTAGTGGTGGGGAGAGCAGGTGAAAAAGGAGAATCTGAGATCCATGGATATAACATACTTCTCATTGGTTTCTCTGAGGTTCTTTTCCGCCTCCTCCGCCTCTTCCTCGAGTAACTGAACCTTTCTCTGCAGGTTTTGCATCTCCTGGCTGTTGTTCGAACCAATAACATGAGCTTCCTTCTCTTCCTTGAGGCGTGTCTCGAGCTTTTCAACTTCTGCATCCAGAAGGTTTTTTTGGTGGTTTAGGGAGGTGATTTCTTGCTCTTTTTGTAGATTTTCTTGTTCAAGGACTTTAATCTTCGCTTGAAGTTCCTCGTTTTTCGCCTGCGCGTCATCCACCTCCGCGCGAAGGGAGATCATTTTCTGACCATAGAGGTGTTAGTGTTTGAATTTCCGATGCAAGGAATAGAAGTATATATATATTTTTGTCATCTCGGAGACAGCCGACAAGAAATGGGGTTAAAAGTGGGAAAAGTAAGAAGGGGCGGGGAAAATGCATACCTCTTTAACTTTCTCCATCTTGAAAAATAATAATCAGGGGTGGTATCAAGCGAGAGGTATCGATAAGGGATATCGGGGAATCAAAGAGTGCGTCGAGATGATAGTGAGCACTAAGGTGGTGGAGTATGGAGATGAATGAGGGGGATGGAGAAAGGGATGGAGAAGGGAAACAGCAGACCTGGAGGGTCTAGAGGTGAGTTGGCAGCTGGATGGTAAGAGCCAACAGACTTATGTTATTCAAGGCGAGTTGGTGGGGAAGAGTGGACACGAACGAACCTCCATAGTGACTTTCCTGGTCTTGGCAGGAGGGGGAGGTGCGGTAATCACATGCCCTCACCTGCATGGTTGCTGTGCCAACCGGTCACGTGAGTGTGTCCTGGTGACCTGCCCCTACACTGTTTATTCCTTTCAAAACTCCTTCCTCACCTTTCTCCTTTGAAAAAATATTCTATCTACAAGACTCAATCGCCCCCCCGCCCACTCAACTGGAGTATAGTATCAGAATGCTTGCTGCCAATAAGGAGAATGCTCTCAATGCCCATGTACCACACTTGGGAAGGATCAATGCCAGAACTCCCGGGCCTTCGAAGTTGCATCCAAAAACACCCTACAAAGTCCCTTTGAACAACGAGAACGTTGCTAGGAAAGCTGGCAAACAAACGTTGTTTGTGGGAAATGAGTCATCGCAGTTTGTTACTCCAATTGGTGAGTTCGGTAGTTTACTCTCAGTTATATTAGTTTTGAAAACTCACTTGTTCGCGTGTGAAGGACTAGGGGGGGGCTCTAGAAGACCTGCTTTGACTGGCAAAACAACCAATGCAAAAGCAAGGATTTTTATCTCCTCTGCTGGGGGTTCTTTTGAACAGCAGCCGAAGCCGGCTGGGGGTATATCGCGTCCAGACAGTTCTAGAAGATCCATCCCGGAGGACGTGCGTCCCGTTCTACACAGTGAGAACGGGGAGTATCCGGAAATTGAATACATGCCTCAGTGCCCTCCCGGTACACTTTTTCTTCCTCCAGATATTCATGTTAGTATGAGCGCTTACAATTGACAGACCTGTCTGATATTCCTGACGACTTCTCTGCTCCCGATTACGACAAACTAGGCAAAAGCATCTATAGGGGATGTCATCGGCAATTCCTCCTTGATATAGATGAATTCGGGAGGACATGTATCGAACGACAGGTTGAGGCAAGCCAGCGACAAATCGATGCTATGCTTGACGCAGAGACTGAGGAGCTATTGAAGCCCCTTTCCCTGAGAAGTAGTGGTGCCGCAGGGCGCAAGAAAATTGCCTACCTTAGCTCGGGTCCTTCCAGCACGAAGCAAGAAGTGGGAAAAACCGCTCCGGCGAAGCCAACTGTGACAAAAAGGCCCACATCGAGGTCGGCATCGGCGCTCGGCCGCTCTAGCTCTACTGCGTCGGGTCAGGGATCATCGACAAACAGAGCTGTGAAATCCATGGCCCTATTCTCCAAGCGCCCTGCCTCGTCAAGTTCAAATGTTGGACCTAAAGCAGCTAGCAGGACAGCGAGCCATTCTCGATCGATCTCTGCCTCCACCATCAAGAAACCCCTGAGCTTCCCCACTAGACCTAAGGCAATGCCTCCTCCTCGTCCCGAAAGCAGAACACTCAGCGCTGCGAATTACGGGCCTGCCATAGGGCACACCAGAGGGAAAGAGGGTAGTAGAGAGGTGAAGAGGAGGGTACAGACGACTGGCCCCAAGGAAACTGCCCTCGAAGCATGTGAGAGAGTTCTGCACGAGCACGAAGAAGATTTCTCTCCTGTTATCCTCCCACCGTTAGGGACCGATGGCGGAGATTGCGAAGATCCGGTTATTATGCCTCCAATTGATGATATCGAGGAGGAATTTTATATGCAGGTTCCGGAATAGGTAGAGATGGAGGAATTCCTATAAGGGTTATGTGGAGTACCGGTATGCCGCCAACGGGTAGGGCAATTATTCTAGCACCCTATTTGGTCGGGTAGGTGGCACTTGTTAGCACTAGATGGAGCTGTAATGTACATTAGTTTCTTTCATGGTGGGTTTCGGAATCGGGTATACGATAGTATTGTATTGCTCTATGGGATTGGATTGCGAAGGCTATGGCAAGCCTAAATCGAACCGGCCGTCGGAGGGGGATGCAGCGGTCAGATCTTTCTGCAGGGGGATTGAGGTCAAATAGGTCAAGGAAGTTGCTACGGTCTTGCGCTCGGATGCTAATAGCCGAATGTATTCTCTTTAGTCTACGGGCTGTAAGCTAGCCAGAATCTTTATCAAAGGTGACCTGTGGCCGCTGTGCCTCTTGCTTGCAAGGTACCGTAGTCTAACCACTGTGTACTCGGATGTGTCCTTAATAACCGGAAACTAAGGGTGGCAAAACAGGGATTGGAGAGATTGGGAGATTTTTTTTTAATTCATTTGTTTATTGATTCTGGCTGAAAAACATACATGGACCTTGTAGTATGGCATACAAAAGGCCTTAATTCCAAATGCATAAACAATAAAGAAATAAATATGTGGTCCAAAAAACAAATAAGTTACCTGTAGCTTCTTGCCACATGGCCAGGTCTCCTATATCCCACCCTGTGGCAGGCCTGACGGTGCCCTGCTCTGCTCCTAGGTGGAGCTATGATAGCCGCTCGCATCGCTAAGGATGACTAATAAAACAACATGTAAAGATAGGCCCCCCTAACGGTTATAGCAACAATAATGTAAGGGACCATAGGTGAAAAGAAAACCCCATAGGCCTAGCTGTTGGGGGAAAGCAATGTAGGGCACGCATTCGCCAATGCATAAGTGAAAAGGCACTACTGAAAGCACCATGAGGAAGGGACCCTATACCCAGCAGTATTGTAACAAGCATGCCAGGCCAATTGTAATGTGTTTGCACCAGGGTGCTAGTCACGCTTCTGGGTACAATAGGAGCAGCATACAAGTTGATCTACAACCTATGAGTGTACTGTGCTAGGAGAGGCTCTGAGAGAGAGAGAGATAAGAATAGGAACTTAAAGAGGTAACTGTTCAACCAAGTATATTAGAAAGTAATCAGTCTGTTGAAGTCTGCTGTTTCTTCCAGGGAATCAGTAGTCTTTAAAGTCAAGATTTCGTTCATGTCCTGGATGTTAGGAGGTAGGTAACTCTAAGGCTAAGCAAGTGTACACTGGGCCCTGTAATCTTCGGTCCCAGAGATAGTCAAGAAGGCTCGTAAAGAGAGAACTAAAGTAGAACGAATATATTGATAAGATCTCTTCTCTGGTTGCTGATGATAGACTTAAAGCTAGAGATTTTTTTTTCTTTTTTTTGTTTAACTCATATATTCTTTGTTAAGGTACAAGAACCTGCATGGAGTGCTAGCTATGGGAAAAATAAAACCTTAATTCCAAACGCATTCTCCCGCACCCCAGCGACCAAAATAACCCCCCCAAGACACTCTGGTATGGGCCTAACCGCACGTCCCGCCCCGCACATGAACAATCGTCCTCCACAGGGAAGGCAGGAGAGGGAAGAAAACGCTTCAGCGTCAACTTGACAAAGGAAAGAATAGATTAGGAAACCCCTAAGTGCCTCTACAGGCATCGGTGAATGAAAGTGTCTGCTGTTGGGCCCACAATAGGACCCGGGCAAAATGCCATAACGGGGCCGACCAGCTCAACGCAGGAGATAGTGCAATACCAAGGTAGGCCAAACAGCAATTCGGCGGGGGGGCGGGCCGCAAGCGTGGAGGGAGGAAGACTGGCGAGAGATGCCAGCAACCTGTGATAGAGGAGGGCAGCCTATACTTCCAAGGAGGGAGGGGGTAGACCCCAGCCGTGAGGAGTCTGGTTGTGGAAATGGTTGGATGGCGCCTGTAGTGACACCAGAGCCAGGAAAGAGTTATAGAGCTGCCGCAAGGGTGGCAGAAGTGAGAGCAGCACCAAGTGATACTGGTACAGAGGGGAGGCGGGAGGGGCAGGCCGAAGCACTACCACCTCAGTGAAGATGGGGCCCAAAGGCTGAGTGAGGCAGTAGGGTGCCAGTCGATCCCAGACAAGGGGAGAGGAAGAGGGCAAGGCAGCAAAGATCCGGCCAAACAATACGGTAGGAGGCTGCAACTAGGGTCACAGGAGTAGCGAGGCTACTCCTGATAGCCCAGAGGACCACCATCCCAACGTACTGTCCAGCCATCACCAAGCCGCCAAAGCCGACCGTGCTGATACTAGGCGAGGTGAAGCAAAAGCAGGGCAGAGAGGATGGAGACATCACGATAAGGCCCCCAGGGTAAGGAGAGGACCCCCATCTAGCAGATGCAAGATGCCAGATGAGGGAAGGAGTAGAAGAGAGGCCCCAATGCGCAGAGGGATCGAAAGAAACAGCCTGCACCCCCTGGTGGGGGGGTTCATGTCTATAGAAAAGTGGTGATGATTCCTCGGTGTTGAGTAATTCACAATTAGGTAATATTTTTCAATGACTGGAGGTGTAGCGGAGACGGAGGATGGACTTAAAGCAAGGGATTTTTTTTATTTTTTTTATTTGACTGATTTAAATTTTTGTTTATGGGACAAAAAGGCATATGGAGCGCTAGCTATGAGGTCTAAAAAACCACCCCATCCTGGACCAGGTCGAACGACAGAGCTAAAAGAACCCTCCGGGGTAGAAAAAACTACTCCCACCTGTAATTCTTCCTGGGAACTGCTCCACCCAATAACTCCTACCGCCAAGCGACAAAAGAAAGCTAGCTACCCGACAGTGAACCAAGAACCCGCCAAAACTCCAAGAACAATCACCTGAAGGTCGAAACCCAAACCGAACCGCTGAGGGCCAACGATCACAACTCAAATCTAATATAGGAATGCCTAGGCCATATGACGAGGGCCAGGAGGAGGGAGCCGAAGCCCTGGACGCGAAGGGTATAAGAGAAACCAACGCGAAGGTGGCGACCGAGAAGTGAGGAGAAGAGGTATATGGCAGGTGTGCCAGTGACAGTCTGTCCTCCGAGACGTTCGATGATTGAGGCAGTAAGGTGCCAGCTGGAGAGGAGGTGGTAGTAGGGTGCCAGCTGATCTGACCATGGAGAGGAGCCCTAAGCGAGGTAAGTGTTTTCCCGCATCTCTCATGTAGTACCTTGTTCTGGGAGAAATAGCGTCACTGTAGTGGAAGGGATCCCACCACCTGTCAGCAAAAGAGGCCAGAAAGAGTAGAGGAGGGGTAGACCAGATTCTGTGAACGACAACTATAGGTAACCCCGGTTGTGTCCGACTTGGCAGCCTCTTACAGGGGCAAGAGAATGGAGAGATCGATGGTAGCCTCTAAGCTGTTCTCTCCTACTGCAACTGTAGTCCCGGCCATCTGTTGAAGGTGGAAAAGGGGGTTGCCGACTATGACAAGGCCTAAGCAAGCCGGGGTAGGAAGAGGGGAAACATCACGAAGATGAGAGGCCTCAACCAGGGATAGAACTGAGGGAATCAAGAAATAAATCAGGACCCCAAGGGAGAGGGGAAGCGAGCCCACCTCCTGTAGCCGAGGCTAGATGGAGGAAGATGGGGGGGGGGGTGGTACTGGACGATGAAAGCTACGATAGAAACTGTGGTGTTGAGTTTTCAATTGTCGGAGGTGGAGTGGAGATGGAGGATGGACTTAAAGCTATGGATTTTTTTTGTTGTTGTTTTGTTTTTGTTGGACTCATTGATTATTTGTTTAGGGTACAAAAAACATATGGAGCGCTAGCTATGATGACAAAAAACCCATATTCCTCCTCTCGCCACAGGAAAAAGCCAACCCCCCAAGCCCAATTCGTATGGAGCCAACCGCACATCTTGCCTCAAAGAAAAGAAACCCAAGCCCGGCTAGAAGGACGCACAAGGGAATCCTAACTAAGAAGAAGGCAGGAAGGGCCAGGAAAACCCACTGAGAAATCCTAAAAGAACAAATGAAAGGTTAGTAGCAAGGTGCGTAGGCCATGAGGGGCGAGTCCACTCATTCAAGCGGGAAGTGACGCCTGAAGCGCGCCAAGATAGGGGGCCCCCCCCAGACCCACTGCAAGGAGACAGTGCAATACCATAGAGGGAAGGAGGAGACCAGCCGGCCATGGGCAATAACCGGGGGGAGGGGAAGGGGTAGCAGTAGGGTGCCAGCTGATCTGACTGTAGGGAGAGGAGAGTGGTGGGGTAGATCCAAAGACCTTAAACATCGTCTATTGGTATCGTGTTCATGTCTGACTAGGCAGCCTCTTAGAGGAATATGAGAATTGGGAGATCGACCGTAGCCTGTTGGCTGTTCTCTCCTACTGCAACTGTAGTCCCAGCCATCTGATGATGGTGGTTAATGGGTTACCAACGGTGAGAAGGCTAAGCGAGCCCAACTCAGGAGGAGGAGAGGACTCCCCACCACATGTGGGGGGAGGAGAGAGGGGGAAGTAAGATCATCAACGGCCGCCTAGGCAAAACAAAGCAGGTGTTTTACCAGGTCTCTTATGTAGTCCCTTGTTCTGGAAGAGATAGTGTCACTGTAGTGGAAGGGATCCCACCACCTGCCAGCCAGCAAAGGAGGGCCTCCGAACGACCAACCCACAAGGAGAGAGAGGGCCCTGCGACAGTAGACGGAAGTGAATACCCCAGACGTGAGAGGAGAGAAGAGCCAGACTCCGCTAGGCCGAGGCCAACATCAGGAGTGGGTGGGAAGGTGGCCAATACTTCGTGATGAGACAACAAACTCACGATACAAACCGTGGTGTTGAGTTTTCAATCGCTGGAGGTGTAGCGGAGACGGAGGATGGACTTAAAGCTAGGTATTTTATTTTTTTTGTTTAACTCATATATTCTTTGTCCAGGTACAAGAACCTGCATGGAGCGCTAGCTGTGGCAAAAACAAAACCTTAATATCAAAAACAACAAACGATAACGAAATAATTCTCCGCCAGCAATCCCCGCCAGTGAGTAATACAACCCACTGCACCCACCAGGGTGACTAATCACAAAAGAAAAGACAAGCCTCCTCCTGCACGAAGGAAGCATGAAGCATGGAAAGTCAAATAAAACCAGGAAAGAGATCAAAAAGAAATACCACTTCAATCTGAAATGAGGTGGTACGGGCTGACGCGCGACCACCCCCCTCGCGGGGGGAAAGTTGGTTCTGGTATCGGAAATGTATCATGCGACACCCCATAAGAGGACCTTATCTGCCCACACGGGAGCCTCATAGCCTAAAGAGTCCACTCCCGGGATATGGAGCAGTCTCGAGGGGTCCTTGGAGGGACAGGAGAGGAGAGCGTGTTGTATAGTCTCTGGCTCAAGGCCGCAGGCCGAGCAAGAACTTAAAGCTAGGGATTTTTTTTTGCTTTTTTTGTGGTTTGACTGATTTAAATTTTTGTTTATAGGACAAAAAGGCATATGGAGCACTAGCTATGACGCCTAGAAAACCGTCCCCCC